TATTTGATTTAAGTTTTTTCTAACAAAACGCGCTTTGACAGACTTCCTAGATGGCTGCTGATGTTAAGTGATGTCTTGCTGTGATGTATAATGGCTTGTCAGGCTGCACACGGGATCTCGTCTCTCAGCCAGGGCCTGGGTCACAGCAACCCCCCCAGTCTCGAGCAGATCCACCTGCTGCAGGCCGGGAGCCCGAGAGGTGCCGTCAGACTGGTGGTGGAGGCCGCCTCGAAGCACTGGCCATGGCAGCAGATCCGAGCCTGTAAACGGGGAGCAAGCGGTGGGGAGAGCCGCAGCGAGCGTCTGGGGCAGAGGGAAGTGGGGATTTAATAGGGGAAGCAGTAGATGCAAATCTGCCCGTGGGTCAGGTCTCTGCGTAGCCGCTCCTGCGAGTCCCTGGCCGTTACGCCAGGGCTGGCGCGTGGAACGGGCAGGGTCGTGTCCAGCACTGCAGCCGTCGCCTGTGGGTCTCGCTGTTCTGCCATGCAGCGGCAGAGAAAACGTTTGATTTGAGCCTTAACTGAGCCTTTGCTTTCCAGCTCTGTAAGATGAAAAGTATCAGCTCGCGGGTCGCAGGGGAGACTTGGTGGGCTCCCAGTCGCGGTGGAAGGGATCGACAGCGGGTCAGGTCTGTGGGCAGGCAGGGCCCGGCCCTGCGCAGGAGGAGCACGGAGCAGGAAGGGTGAGCGGGGTCTGAGGAACGGCCTGGAGCAGCCGGCGGGTAGGAGGCAGCTTCTCCACGTAGCTGAGTGCTCCAAACAACCGAAACGGTGCGAAATGACCCGACCCATCCTATCACGAAGAGAAAACTCGCTTTGCTAATTGCAGATGGACCCCGGCCTCGGGCGCTGGTGTGCGGGGGAGAGCAAGGGCCTGGGAGGGCGGGCTAGCTGCCATCAGCGGCAGTGGCCACGGGCAGGCAATCGAACCCCGGGGAAGGACTGGGTGGGGGCTGCAGGAACCCCTGGGGATATAATTGCACCGTTTTCTTTTGGTGCAATTCATTGCAAGAATCCCAGTTACAGCAAAAAGACAGCGAGCGGCCAGGGCTTCAGGCGCCACACAAGCTGAAGAAGCAGTTTGCCAGCTGTCCTGTGGCCAAAGGCCTCTTAAATTTGGCTTCTAAAAGGAAACAAAATGAACCGTGTGTGCAGGAAAGACGCACACTTGTCATTTGTGGAAGGCTGTTGGTGACTGACGGCTGATACAGTGGGCGGAAAGCAAATGGGCTCGAAGGCCATGAATTAACAAGTCGCTCGAGTGACAGAAGCTGTCGGACACAGCGGGGGCTATAGACAAAAGCAGGAGTGCTGATTTTTTTTTTAATCTTTTTTTTTTTTTCTCTTACATGAGCTAAACCTAAGACTTCTGTCCCCCTCTGCTTCAGCACGTTATGCCAAGAGCTGCTCTGTTGCAACAGGATTTCTAGAAACGGGGCCTTCTGTCACGATAGCTGCTTGTCCTTGCCCAGTTCAGAGCAGGGTTTCTGACATGTGCTGCCCCCCGGGCTCTGGCACCGCGGTGGCAAGTGGCCGCCGGCCTTGGCCGTGCCCGGGGGCCCGTGCTCCCCTGCGGGTTTCTGTGGGCGCCACGGAGGGGGCTGGCACTGGGGCTGCCCTCGCCCATCGCGAGGGTCCCGCTCTGGTCACCAACCCCCCAGAGGCCGCCCCGTGTCTGCCCGGCTCTGGAGAGCAGCACAGGAAATGGGGAAATGGTGGGAGATCCCCTTCTGCTTCACGGGGGACAAGCGAAGGGCAGGGAGGAGGGATGCCCCCCCCCAGCAGCTTTCTGGTCTTTTGAAGATATTGAATTCCTAACTTCAAAGCCCAGGGAGTATCGCCCGCCTCGTAGAGAAAGGCAGCACGCTCCCCCGACTGGGGCCTGAGGGTAACGAGGGGAGGGAGAGAGAAAAGGCACCGAGCGCGTCTTTCGGCTTTGTCTCTTGCCTGTAAACTCCTGGGACCCGACCCCGTCTGAGAGGGGCTGTTCCGCGCCGGGGTTTCGCTGCGGTGAGAGCTGCTGCGTGATGCGAAGCCCCCGGCACCGGCTGTTGGACACAGTGCCACCTGGTAGTGGGTGACTACGGAAATCTGCTCCTGTTGTCATCTGGCTGCGATGAGATGAGGGGGAGAAAGGGCAAACCACAGTTCTGGAACATTGGCTTTATCCAGAGCAAAGATTTATTCACTGAAAAGATTCCTACATATCCAGAATGTCGTTAGCATAGAGTGCACTCTTTTTTTTTTTCTGGTTGCATAAACTAATACAGAAACTGTTGTTAATACTAACAATCTTTAATTAATTTAATAGCAATTCTGGAAGACACTCAGTTGATAGAAAATATAAAAAAAAATTTCTTACTGTACAAAGTTTACATCACATTTGAAAAGAAAACGTGTCCATGTTGACCATGTTACAGACTCGGTTTACATTCACTACTGACGCGTGGCTTTTGTAGCAGCATTGTACAGCCGGCTTCACATTTACAACTCGAAAATGGTGCAGGCTCGCTGCGCTTCGCCCTCACGCCAGCGCAGGAGGAGGCTGCGTCACCGCAACACAGCGCAGCCCAGCGATGGCCGCTTGGTTTGCGACGCCTCGAGGGGCGAGAGCTCCGCTCTCCTCGCAGCTCTGCAACTCCACGGCTTTCGGTCCGTGCGTCTCACACCAGCTGATTAAAACAAAACTTGTCCCAGAGGCAGCAATCGCGCTCTGCTCACCGATAGCCTGGGTCCAGGGGGCTGGGTTTTGCTGTCAAGAGCAAGTTATGGGTGTTAAACACAAACCCAAGGTCAGGTTGAATGAGAAGCCCAAAACTCAAATTAAAAGCCCATTTTAAAAGCCCTCCTGTGCCCCGGACCAGAGCAGCAGGGCACCACCGGGCCCGGCTCTGCTGGGACGAGGCCCCCGTTAGTGTTCAGCCACGCTTCGAAGTGCAGCACGCCGGGACGGGAGGGCTGGGCCGGGCGGCCCTGCCGGCACCAGGCGGCTCTGTCCGGAAAGCCGGCGGTGTCTGGGTTGCACCTGAGGGCGGGCGTAGGAAGCACAAAGGGTGATCGGGGTTTTTTTGGTTATTATTTTGTTTTAATCTGGCTGGTCACGCGGTGCTGGCTGTCCTTCTCCTGGCCAGTCATCTTATTAGAAAACAAATTGCGAATATATTGCTTTCCCAGCATCGCTGTTGCACCTTGGCCCAGCAGCGCTGCGGCCGGTGAACGGCAAGGGCACGCCGTCCACCTGCAAGTCGTAGACGCGTTCCCACACTGGCGGTCCTGGGTGCCCCAGCTTTCGGGCCCTGTTTTACGCACGCAGATGGCAGAAATAAACGGTGAGACAAGCAGGGAGGCTGCCGCCCCCCTCGGCGCCGCAGCGCCCCCCTGCCGCTCTGCCCCAGGGCTGGGGGCTTCGGCCGATGGTTCGTGACGTTACCGGTGCGAAGCAGCACGTTTCTCCCCGCTTTAGGGTGGTGTTGCGCCGTTATTTAAGCAGTACTTGTTGGGAAAAAAACTTCTGCGTAGAACTGCTGACACGCAAAATTATGGAGAGACCAAACGGTAGCAAGTCTTGGAGAGAGCCACGTGGCGCAGGTTAAATACACAGTGTGGTTGGAGGGGATTTATTTGCTTGGTCGGGGGGGGGAGAGGAAGGAGGTCAAGAGTACCGCAATGCCGTGCTTGGCTACCACCAAACCAATGCTTTGTTTTATATCTGAGACTCATTTAAAAAGTCGTTCTGTCAAAATATTTGTAAGGGAATAGAACTGACTTGCACATAGTGGGAGTAAAGCTCTCTGCTCAACAGAACTCGGATTTTTTTTTGCCACTGAATTTCCGGAGAAGTCGGCCACCTGCAACTGGGCGCCTCCCCCTTGCCTGCCCTGCAGAGGGCTTCGGAGCTCCCCTCCCCACAGCAAACCAGTGAAAGGGGTGGGGAGGGTGGGGGGCGTAACGGACTGGTGCTGTCGGAAAATTAAATGCGGTGACTTCCAGGGAGCCCTAACGAACTGCCTCAGCAAAGCGCCGTCCTACAAGGCCAGAAAGGGCCGGGACAGTGGTTGTGCGGTCAGGGTCCTCCCACTGCCCCGCCTGGCGGGAGAAGGCAGAGAACAGAACGGGAGGCACGAGGGAGCCTTTGTTAACGCTGCCTACAAATCTGCCACCGTACCTGCAGAGCTCGGACCTACCCCTTGTAACCTGCGACTTGCACCCTGGGGAGGAGGGGGGCGGGGGCGTTGTCCTTAAAATCAACCTTTGCAACCGGTCTGAGATGTCAGGTAGAGTCCGATCCTTTAGACCCAAGTGTGACCTTCCCGGCTGCAACATTTCTGTTGTTCTTAGTTGTCGCCTGAACGACTGCTTTAGTCCTAAATATTTTAGAAGCAACAGCTTGCAAACATGACCAGCGGTAGGGGCCGGGAACGTGCGGTGGGTGTGGAGAGACTGAATCTCTTCACAAGCTCCGGGCATCAGGACCTTATTTAATGCATGATCTAGGGAAGGCTTTTTCCCTCCTCTTGGCTCTCTTGCCTCTCTGGAAAACGGCTTTTCTTCTACCACTGGAATGGTGACTGGGGCAGTAAGGGTCGAGCCTGGCTGGTCAGCGCTGTCTCCAGAAAAGCTGCAGGTTTAGGGGACTAGAACTCATTGTGCCTAGAACTTCAGAAGAAGAATCAGGGCCCTGTGCACAGAGCTGTAACAGGTCGCCATTTTCTTTTTTCAAAGGCCAGCGAGTCTTAGGCTTCCAACAGGATTGTATGAGGACAAACAGCTTTTACCGTGAGTTCTGTGTAGAAGAGCACTTGAGTCTTTGATCAGAAACTCTCCTCTCAGATGCAGATTTGTTCTCGTGTGGCTTAATTCAAGGTAACCCAGAGCTCGGACCAAGCCTGCTGAAACAAACCTCAGAGCTCAACCATGGGTTTGGGCTAATCAGCGTCTAATGGATTGATTTTTACCTTAATGTAAGAAGAATGCAAGCTGGACTCCAGCCCCCTGTACTAGGTGCGCTGCCATCCCGAATCGAGCCAGTTCCACTTCTCCTGGGGAGAACAAATACTCTGAAGGCAGAAGGTAGCTCCTATTTGCCGCAGACACGAGAAGGAACTAGAAATAGTTCTTCTTTTTTTTCAGTGCTATTTCAGAATGGCTGTAGTTAAACGATTCACTGTTTATTATGTTTAAAAAAATATAGTTCACACAAAAGTATCATGTAAACATTCTTTAAATAACTGCTGGTGCTCAGGCAGAATTCAGACTTTGCAAACAACCCAGGACTGTGAATTGATGGTCGTGCGGCTTTCAGCTGCGGCTGCACCAGTTTCATAGCTTGGGAGATTCAGCGAAGCCGTCGGATGCTTTGTGTGAGTAGGCAGACAATGATATCACAAGACAGTTACACACCACGCTATATCTTTTGATTACTTGGTTCCAGGATTCCCAAGCCAAATCTTTCAAAACGCAGGACAACTTTGCTACTGTTAATGCTGAAAAGAGGGGGGGGAGAGGAGAAAGGAGGGGGGAAGAGGTATTTATTTTTAATCTTTCTTACAAAGCCACAG